CTTAAAATCCTATGAAAAAATAGTTGCTCCTTCATATGGCACGTCAAGCTATCACTTAGCTCAATTCATAGTAAATTCTGCACAGAAGAATGTTGCATGTAAAGGTACCTTTATGCCAATTCATTTTTTCTATACATTCAACTTATCTGTTTTGCTCCAGTGAAAAAAATACAAACTTTTAGCACTTTTACTACTGTTAATAATGTAAGAGAGTGCTCTGAACTCGGGTGTACGGCATACTTCGTAACTGAGCTGCTTGCTACACTAATTATTTGATTTGAGCATACTGTGGGTATGAACCATAAATAATGAAGGCAGAACGTGCCATTTCAAGGCCTAGCTCTTTATTACTGGTGACACTAAAGAAGGACAGAATTACTCTGCAGTTTCATATAATAAGTTGCTTCTCTGGGACTGACAGTAAGCAGAGCACACGTTTAGAAGACTCTCAAAGAGATCGGGAACAGAGCATTTTCTATATCTGTATATCCAGTATTATTTAAAAAGTTAGCCTTAGCTGTTTATATTACTCTTGCTCAGTGACATGAAACAGAAACCATTGGCTTGGTTTCTGGAAAATCTTATAAAGAAGGTCAAGCAAGTTTACCTTATGGAGAATCAGAAGTTTTGCTATAAAAAGGGCCAAAGTTAGTTAAATTATGAGTTTAGTTCTTTTCCTAAAAACATAACCTTGGCAGCTTTTGAAAGATAGGAAAATAATAAAGAAAAAAAAAACAAAAAATCTGAACCTGTTGAACTCACCTAGCAATAATCTGTCAGTTAACTTTAGATCACAGAACTGTAACGGCAAGTGTCTCTCTAATTTAAAAATAACTTTTATCCAGGAACTGTGGAACTAATCTTGACTTGATTTTAACTGCAAAGACAAGCAGGGAGCAGGAATTAAGAAAATGTTTACTACCTTTTTTTCTGTACATACACAAGTAAGAACACAGCTGCCACTCTGCTGCACCTTTTCCAAAGTCCCATGCTCTTGCGTGCCTCTCTGGCACGCATGCCTGTGGAGCTTCAGCAGTCACTGAAGTAAGTATATGCTCTCAAGAATTGCTATGGGGCAACTAACATAACATGAATGCTGTAATTGTGCATATCTGAGTTTCTTTCAAATTAATCTCCAATCTGAGCTACGAAGCTTTAATCATGGTGTTCTGCTGTAATAACATCCCTAAAAAAAACAATTTTGCTTTTGATTTGTATTCTTTTAGGAAATGAAGCTTAATTTCATCATGAATTCATTATTTCACTTTAAATAAAGCTGATTACAGATATAATTTGCTTAGTTTACACAGGATGGTTAGATGCTGAACAGTGACTCGTGCATGCTACACAGTAGGCATGACTAGAGGCACACCTGTCTTTTAGTCATCATGATTCATTGCTCCTACAGGATGTGAATGTCTTTCAAACCATGCACTCCTGAGTGGGCGTCCCCCATTTCTTTGTACCTCTATAATACACACTATACATCGTAAGAATGTCTGTGGGAAGCCTAGAAAGAAACTACTCAAGTCAGCTTGTAAGAGGAAATAGTCTCTCCAGTATCAAAGTCATAAAGACCCTACAATTTTTCAACTGCTGTCCTCCCATCTGCCTTTTTCATTGGCTAGCCAACACCGTTAGCAAGTGCTTACAGAGGAAGCAGAGCCCCACACTGCAATACTGACAATCAAAAGTATTTTTTACAAACAGATCTCTCTCACATGACTTGCAAGCCAGGAGCCACCCTACTAAATAACTTTGGGGTTTTTTTGGTTGTTTGAAGTCTGATTAGCTGTTTCTATTCAGAATTCCTCAAAATGACTGCACTGGATCTTCTTGGCAATTCTGTACTCATGAAAGAAGCAATATAAGGGGAAAAGAGGACTGTTGTGCTGGTATGCACCAAGGTAGGGTGGCTGCAGACGGGTGATGTTGTGTAAGCATATTACGGACACTTTGAATACAAGCTCTTCTATCCATGGAGAAAATTCACAAATGTCTTGTGACTTCCTCTATCAACTGCTCCATGTCATGACAGAGATGGATCAAGCAGGAGCCATCACATGACTAAATACTGATGCATATCAGCATCTGAAAGCAGTGTTTGCCCAAACTTCAAGCCCTACGAACCATCACTGAAGCATGTGCTGTTTCTCCAATCCTATTTTTATTATTTTGCCATCATTTTAGATCTCATCATATAAAGAAATTGGGGTACCTGACCACTCAGATAGAGTTTGGTAAACACTCTAATAAATTTACCAAAGCCAACACACAGCCAGGCCAGGTGAAGTTAAAGATATTAAAATTTTTAAGAACTCACTCCTATTTTATGGAGAAAAAAACCTCAAGTACTAACAAGGCCAGGAGACAGACAACAGAATCTTAAAGATCCTTCCTAGAAACTTTAAGATCCTGCTTATCCGCAAATACTATGTGACAAGTTTTCACTTGAGCTTGCTGTCTGAGAAAGTACCAACTTCACCTGAACAAATGCAGGAGTATTTCTGTAGACCAGTGACTGTCAAAAGGAGGGCTACAGACACCCAAACATAACCCAATATGTATATAGCCACCAACTTCTGTGATAAGAAAGGTCTGCAAAAAGGTAAAAGATGGCAGTTCAGAAACCTGAAGGATTCATTGAGCAGCATCCTTCTAAATAATATTATCCAGTGCCCATACTTTCATCAATTATGAAGCCAGTTTCTTTAACTTTTATAGTTTCCCTTAGAGTTTCTCAAAGGAACAAATAGCAGCATGCTGTATTTCTGGAGAAGGTAGAAGAGGATATCCTTGGGATAACGGTGGGCAGGTGGTCATGCTTTTTACATATTTATTCCTCCATAGTGGCCCAAACTGAATAACCACTGCACTAAAGCCGGGCTGTAGCGAGCTTCTGCATGCTTGCAGTTTCTGCCCACCTTGGGGTACTTAAGAGAGCCTCTCCCTCCCCACCACTGCCAAAGTGTAGCCATAGGCCCTTGTAATACAATTATTTAGTTGGACAAAGAGGAGAGAGGAGAGAGCATCCAGGACTACCGCAGCTCAACCATCCACAGAATTACGATTTTGAGCACAGAAAAGGAGGTTAGACTTGAAAATGCTACGAGCTCACCCCTTTTTCATGGTAGTGGTCAGCTCCGTAAGTACAATATGACAAACATCACAGTACGTTGTACAACTGACGTAGAATAAAGAAGCTTTATACTAATTTATAGAGTTTGCAATGTTGCTGACAGCCTGAGGGTGTTAAGGCACAGAAGGATACAACAACATTCTGGGAATTCATGCCTGTCTCAGAGGCAGCACACTTGGTATCTTGTGTCAAAAGAGAAATGTTTCAGGTGTATATAACAGAATCGGTTTCAGTCTAAGAGTTTCTGCTTCATGTCTACTAGTGGCATCTTTATAAATGCTGATGGCCATTACCAAAATTTAGTCCAGCTCCCAGTAGCACAAACAGGTAGCTTGAACAGAACTGTACACATAGGGTTAGTCTCTCGCTTTCTTCTAAAACACCTCCATCTTTTATTGTAATACTTCTCAGCTATCTGTTTAACAGAGAGTCGAAGACCATCCATATTGCAAAGTCTGATCTCTAAGGCTCCCTGAATTTCTCTCTCTCCTTGCAGTGGGAGTGGGGAGTGGCAAAATCCAGACGTCTACACCATTTCAGCTAGATACTCAGCAGGGTTCAATACAGGATTAGAACAAACTCCTGGCTCTAGAGCAGACAGACACAAAGGTGGTGTGCCAGCATTTAAACAGGGAGGTGACAACCTGTCAGCAAGCCCCAGAACACAGAAGAGACACGCAGTAAACAGGGACAAAGGTAAACAGACCAGTAGGTGAAAAGAAGGTGTAAAAAGCAGTCTGCAAAAGAAGGAGCAGCAGGTAGGAACAGCAAAAATACGCAGCATAATTAAAGTCAGACAAAAAACAGTAGGCAATAGCTTAGAGAAAGGTAATATTAACAGTACCGTGGTTTTATCTAACAGAAGTAAAAATCATATAGTAGTTTTTGTCCTTTATTCCATACAAAGCATTATGCTATATGGTTAGGAGGTTTTCTACTATGCACCTACACAGGTTAATGTTCTGTAAACTCTCACAATCCCAAAACGGAATCTCAGCAAGACCTCGGAATCAGCTGCAGTCACCATGCAACTCATCACGCAAAAGTCACTGTCATCTTGGACATTACTGCCACTAATAATAAAAGTTTTGCAGGGCAAATCATACACTCGTTCAGACACGTTTTTATTTGACTAATATACTCTCTTTGTTCAGTACTGAAGAACTTCACTTTTACAGATTCTCAAAACAATTTTAAATGATTCACTGGCAGTAATTAATTTATAATGTATAGAAAATGGAGTGTTTTGCTCCAGCAAAAAAAAAGCTTGTTCCTTGTAGGTATTTATTACATTGTCAAACTGATTTAACTAGAAAATATTTCCATGTAGAGCTTTTTCTCCTGTAACTTTAAATACAGAATATGCACTTACACTGTATGTTGTACATGAACCCACACCACAGTTTATTAACTGGAAAGATATGAAAGTAAGCAGATTTATTAAAATACTTAACAAAAAAGATGTGTTCTCAAAACCTATGATTGATCTGTGGGCCTCACTGACACAATGTCTAACTGAGACCAGAGCACATAAGAGTTTATATTACAAGGAAAAATCGAGACCCATAAAATACATACCTTGCATTTCATTGTAAATTCATTTTTCAACTCCAGGACAGTATATGATCTTATTTTACTAATACAAATTAGGAAATTGCCTCAATAGGTGAATTATTAGTCGCTTGGTGCTAGAAGGTTTCTTAAGATTTCCTTGGGGGCAAGAGTCTCGACAAGGCACATGTCAGATAGATGCCTCGTAGAAGTATTTCTCCATTCATCCCTCACATGCATTCTGTTTTTATTCATTATTTTGACAATAAAGTTAAAATACATTTCTAAAATTAAGGGATTAGATACTTACAGTGAAAATACCCATTAGCTGAGTGTAAAAGAGTCCACTTATTCCACCCAGTATTATTAGACCCATGAAGGCAGATATTCTTAGAAGAGCAAGTTCATGTCTATATACAAAAACATCCTGAAATAAGAGAGAAAGAAGGAAGAGACTTTAGCACTGAAAAATTAAATTAAGTCTTTGAATCTAAGGGTAGTACTAGGTAAGAGCTGTCCCCAAAGACTCAGAGCTAAAAGCAAACACTGGATTTTCAGCTACATTGCAATTCACTGATGTATTTATGTGCTAAAATTATAAATGTGAAACTTTTATTTATATATGTAAACACTTCTTGGCCAGATAACCAAAAAGGTCACCCAGGTATTTAAGGTTTGGGAATATAGTAAACTCAGATGGTTTAATCCTGATTTCTTCCACCTCAGACCATGCTGGGTTGCTACACAAAAGCCTCGAAACATAAAAAAAAATCAATCCGCTAAACAATCTGTTACAAGGCTTTTTAATCTTGGGTCCCAGCCACAGCAAATTTCATTTTAACATCATCTCTTTTGTGAAAAAAGCGTAACATTCCTAGCTTGACTTCTGAAGATGGTACCTATAAAATCAAAGTATCTGTATTGGATTGGTCTAACTATAACGCTGCCTATTATCCAACATAAACTTTTCTTCATCTATTAAATCTTGGCCTCAAGTGGCTTACTATAATTTTGGTATGGGAGTACAAATTGGTAGAGGATGCTCCGGAAAACTTGCTTTTACTCAGCAGTAAATATAAGAGAGATTTCTAGATCATTTTCAAAGGTGAAACCACCTTATTTTTATCACCGGAAGACATTTGTGGATGACGGTTACTGTAGATGTACTACAAATTCACACTCTATCTTACCCCTTGGTAATAAGTTAACACATCCATTCCCTTATTTATAAGTTACGATTATGTTCTCAAGGCTGTCTTCTAAATGTGCACATCTGTTCTTTCACTTAGAAAAGCCAAATCACAGCAGGGAAGTATTAAAAACCTTTCAAGTAAACTTTAAATTACAGCTAGAACATAAAACTGAACTGAATGAAAAAATCCTACTGCTTTTGAACTTTATTTACTTGGAATCACTATGACTTAAGGAAGAGAAATTCTCAGATCTAGGACTACTGGGTTTTAATTAAAGAGGGAACAGTTAAGGTAAATACTATTTTAGTTAGAAAGTCTGATACTACATGTGAACTATTTATGTGAAAGTTCACATGATAAAGCCAGATACATTAAATAAAGAACTATAAAGATGTTCATATTGGCTGCCAAAGCTGTGAAGGAAGTTTAGTTTTCACTAAACTTAGAGAAAGTATTCTTCATTTCCTTTTTTTTTTTTTTTTGAAATTGAGTTCATTCAAAGGTAAACCAAATCAAAAAAGTAGGCAAGCCCACTTACATTTCCCTTCACACCTCCCCCATCAAAGCTCTAAAGAAAAACAGGGGAAGATACCAAGATCTATTGGTTCGAAAATACTTTCTCTTCATATCTCCATAGGAATGTCACTTTATTAGCAGAAATGTTTTAATGTACTTCAATTGAATCACACATTCAATTCAAATTCAACTTGACAGAAAACAGAAGTGTAAGAGGAGAGTGCTAAAAGTGAAGTCACAGTCTGGATCTAGCATCACGTTCTCCATTTAATATAAAAAATGAAATAAAAAATATCTTAGCACCCTCCTAAAATGCTAATTAAAGGGATGATTTTCAGTAGGAAGAAAAGTAGGATTTTTCAGTCAGCTTACATACTACAACAGAAAATCCTAGTGAAAAAGGCAGCAGTATGCATTTTGTATTTCACTCTTCTAACCCATGCTAAAACTACAAACTGTCCTTTGACTGTTAGGTATTATGAGGCAAGAGGTACAGAGAAGGTACAACAGAACTACTTTCACCACTGTATCTTGAAACAGAAAGGTAATTGTATAAAGACTGGAAAAAAAGGATATTTTGAAAAATACCATTTCAGTCACTGCAAGAATAATAAATTGCACATCTAGCTTGTTGGGACATTACATAAAAGTTCATCTCAATTTGTTTTTATTATTCCTTCTCAGGACTGACAGAAACATTTTTCCCCCTAAGAAAACCACCTCAGACAATAAAATCACCCCAAAATAACTAGTCAATAATTAATCAGTCCTTGTTTCAATACATTTTGGACAGGTCCCTCTTGCTGAATCACCAATTAGGACTCACTCATTTCAGTGCCGAGTGAGTACTGAGATTGTCTGAGCCCAAAAATCACACTGTACGTGCTCAAAGAAAGAACTAAACAGATTGAACTGCAAAGCAAAAGCACACATCAGCTAACATCAGCTATACAAGAACTGTCTCTCATGGGACAACAGGGTTTTGTACACCACGTTTTCCCCACTGGGCCAGGCTCATATGTGACCTTGGCTTAGACCATCACTCTGTGCAAAGGCTTAATAATCAGACCAGCACTTCAGGAAGCCTCCTTTCTTCTTACTTGCTGGAAACACCACAGGCTGACTGCCCCCCTCTAATCTTCAGAGTTCATGTGGGTTGCTGACATTGTTTTAATATGTACAATACTCTGTTCGGATGTGCCTGCCTGGTGCCTGTTCCAATAGGTTTTTAGGTCCCCTTTAGGCATTTCTCCTAGCTTTCCAGTTAAACCCAAGGATTCTTGGCCTCTTATAAAAGAGGTGTATAGCAGAAACGTATAGCAGAAAATCTACAGCAGACAATTGACATAAAATGAGAATGACAGTGTAGGTCTAGAGGTCTAATTTGAGGGTTGCATTACAAATTAAAAGATCTAGCATCTTTATCTTCATAGTTAGTACCAAAATATTCCACAGAAAGCCAGTCTTTGTGTCAGAGAGATTCAAACAAGACTTCCTCCTCCACCCCAGGGTAGTACATACACTGCGGTTTTTACCTCGAAGCATCAATTGTCTTAGATGCTCCCTATGACGAATGTTAATGGTGATTAGGAAAAACAGGTATTACAGGTTCATGTTAATAGGAAGGAGGGGTTGAAAGGATGATGGATCCAGCTCAAGATCATAATCAATTCCTTTCCCTTATTAATTAATATAAGTCTTGAGCATGCTGAAAAGATATGTCCACCACTTCCAAATTCAAGTTTCATTTTGTCCCGCTAACTTATGCACAAAAACTTGAATGGGTCCCTGCTATTAGCTGCTTTGGGTTCTTATTTTCAAGCCTTTACATGTGCAGCCCTGGTTCCTTTCCATTGCTTCAAACTCTAAGAAAAGCACATTCTGTACAGAAAACAGAGCTTTCAGCAGGGCCACAGGACTACAGTATCAGTTCCAGAAGAGACAAAGTGCAAAACAGTCTTCATAACTTTTCATTTTCAATATAAGATTAATTTATTCAGTCTTGCTTCTTTACTGAAATGTAATATACATTGAAATTAATATACTAACAAAATAAAGTAAGACACTATCTTTCTCTTAGGGAGATGGATACAGAAGAAATCTCATATAACACAGGGTAGTCTGCTTATCCATTCTCAGCTGCTGATGTCTGCCTCAGGCTGGTGAAGAAGTCAGAAAATCAACCTGGCTATAATAAAAAAAGCGTAAAGGAGAATAAAGCTACGTGATCAGAGTGAAAAAGGCAAAACAAAAAGGCTACAAGGTTAGCAGGAGGAAAGAGGAAAGAGGGGAGAACATTCACTCAGATTAAAAAAATAGAAAATGAATTCATAGCACAAAAGCTGCATTCTGAGCAAGTCATTTATTTTGTAGATATATTTATTAGGAGTAAGAATGGATGCTTAAGTAAAATACTTTTTTGATTCAAATTTGATTTCAAGTCTATTACATCTGTAATTTTCCAAAGTTTTATCCAAGACTGTTTTGGATTAAAGTGAAAATGGGAAGAGCATTTTTAGAAGAGTTTCTAAAAATGACAGTCTGTGAGGAGTTCAATCCACAGCAATATTTCTGAAACAATCACACAGAAAAGATTTTAACAAAGGGCAACATAATCTTGACACAAAGGTGACACTACCAATATACTTAGTTTTAACAATATATTATCTTTCCAATCCTATCTTCTCCTACAGATCATGTAATTTACTTTTCCCATTTATTTCAAGGTTTGTAAGCTGTCCTTACAGTTACATAGGAGGAGAGCAGGGCTAGGTTAACTTTTTTTGGAGAACTGAAGAAGCATTGTTTGTCTATTTTTTAAACAGACTCTCCTATCCTGTTGGTCACTTCAGGACCCTAAGAGAAAATTTTTGTTTTAGAGTCTCTTTAGAATAAAAAAGCTGGTTGGAATTTACAGGATGGTATATATTTCCAGATTTTAATCAACAGTTAATTAAAATATCAATCAACAATACTGAAATAAATATTACTTTAAATAATATTCTCAGAAAGTTTAATGAATTTTTCTCAATACCTTTTATTTCAAACTGGGAAATCTAAGTTCCAGTTAGAGCAGGTGGATCACTACAACGCTTCCTATCTGATGTTTCCTCCTCCCTCCACCAAAAGAGCTCAGAACACCCTATAAGAATTTGTTAAGTAGCAGTATTTCCATAACAAACAGTGCATGACTGCAGAATCATGAATGACACAGACTTCTTAACCAGGAGGTTTTAATGAAGGTGCAAAGAAAGAACATCCCAGACTGAGCTTTGGAAAATCACCCAAGGTTTCTGAGGAACTCAGATGCTGGTGTTTGAATTATATAATGTTTTCTGCTAGGATCTTACATATATGATTTAATTACTAGACCCTATTTCTTCAAGTTCTAGCAGTAATTGTACTCCTCCTGCTGGACAAACAGAAGCAGTAACAGAGACATCATTCTGATAGTACAAGAGCCAAAAATACTACAAAGCAGCCTTCTGCTTATAAGGCATGACACTGAGAGAGCACGTCTCTGCTGAAGATAAGCATCTTCCTTCATTAGCTTTAAAGCTATTATCATTACCTCAGTATACTTAATTAAAAACTATTCAGCTTTTTCTTATTTAATCCTTTAAAAATAAAAACGTAATTTTTGATTTGAGAAAAAAATGCTAAAACACATACAGCAACCATATTTTCACAACACATTAACCAGTATTGTGTTAACTGACTCTTTCAAAATAGCATTAAAAATAGTTTTAATTTTACAGCTTCCATACTGTGTATTATTCTATATCTAAAGAATAAAAACCAATAAAGATGAAGGCACACAGCCAAAAAGATCACAAGTATTTTTAATAAGCAGGAAGTAAGCTAATTCCAGATGGCCATTTAGAAAAAATTATCCAGTTTTCAAATCTGTGGTAAACACTAGCCCCTACCAATTAAAAAAATATAAGCTCTTGGTTAAAGTCAGAAATGTCTACATGTCTACAAACGGCACTCCTGGGAAAAGTAAAATGTACTGGGGTCTCCGGAATACCATGGTGCTTCAGGCTTAATTTGTATTGGAAGATTAAAATGATCTCGCAGGATGCTTGTCTAAATACTTAACTAATGGTGACTAAGCCTTCTTGCTTGCCCTGTTCAGCTGGTGTCAAAAGAACATAGTTCCGACAAATGATTCTGTGGCATAGTTACATGATATTAAATCCTCAGCAAGACTATCAAAAACCAGCTAAAAAGAGCTCTGACTTCCTCTTCCAGAAATGCTGACCAGACTCCCAGATAAATTATTAATTTTCTGTACTTCAACCTGGATGCCCCATCCTGCAGCTGAAAAACCGAGAAAGCCAAATACTATTAAGTGACTAGACTTAATAAAGCAATGCAACAAGGAATAGATTAGACTTGCTGTGTCTTCCAAGTTTATATACAGCATAAACAGCTTTTATCCCTCTGGAACACAGATAAACTATAACACAGATCCAGTTTTTCAAAATTAAGTGTCATTTGAAGTGTCCATATATGCAAATTGATCATCATGCCAGAAAAAATCCCCATCCCCACTCCATCGCCAATGAGCTATGTTTTTTCATGACTCTATAGATTTAGACATCCAAACACAGGAACCAAATGCACCACCCAGGCAAATGCATTAAACTGGGTTACGACAATTATTGAGTGCTCTGCCTCCTAACCTGCCCCATCTCCTTGGGAGTAAATATTAAAAGCAAGCCACTCTCCAAAAAGGCTTGAAATTAACACAGTTAAACAATGAAGATCAAAGCTTTATACATGTTTGTTTTCAGAAACATTTACTATTACCATCAAGAGGTCCTAATCTGGCCAAAGTAAACACGATCTCCCTTTTCCTCTCTTACCTACCATCTCCAAGCAAAGAATCTGACACCCTTCCATACTCCTTTTAAAAAAGTAATGGTGACACATAGAGTCTGGGTTTATTGTCCAAACACAGTAATTGTAATTACTTACAGCAATTTACAGCATTCAAGAACTCTCACAAGTTAAAAGGAAATATTCTCAACCACCAAACTACCTCACTAGACAAGCTCTGCCTCTGCCATACAAATAATTTATCTTAGGAAAGTAACAATCCCGCAGTGCCCAAACCAATATTAAGTTCAGATACCAAATCAGGGAGAGTTCTTAGCACTCAAACCTGCAAATTCTTTATAGAGGAAGCCTGCAGAATACAGATGGTATATGATTATACCTTCCACAATATATCAGGCTAATCTAGTTTATAAAATTACGAACATTGAAAGTGCTAATGAAAGTAGAACCCAAAGACATTTACATTTAATCACCTTCAAAGACGTTGACTTTTTGAAAGCCAAAGCGTTTTTTCTCAGCTGTCTTCATCACTTCAGTAATATAGAAACACTTGCAAATGTCATATCCCTTTTAACCCGAACGCAACTACAGCAAATCAAAACAGCTTCCTCAGATCTCACAATGCTTGTAACAAGGTGAACATAAAAAGCCCATTTCTAGACAACAAATGGAGATAAAGCGATCAATCTGGGCAGTTCTCTTTGCTTTCAGAGATCTATTTTACAGGTTTCTCTCAGTTTAAAGGGCAGAGGCTGTGGAAAGATCATCAAACCACACAAAAACTCCTCCATTTTCAATGCTTCTAGAGCCCTTTAAAATTTTAAAATTGAAATATTCATATAAATGAAAAAAGTTAAAATAAGAAATCACCGCAGAATGAAAAAGTCATTTTGAGAAAGATTTGTAAAAATTCACAGTTTTGGTATGCCCCAAATAATAAAAAGTTGAATTATCAAGTTCAATTTAAGACTTTTTGCTAATTTTGGATGTTCCAAGGAGTACAGTCCTCCTTTCAGCTCTCCTTTGACTCATCACCTTCAGGTATGCTTCCCCGGGGACTTCACACGCAGGGCAGGCTGATATGAGGGCAAATAAGAGCTTAAAAGGGTAAGTCCAATTCTTTTTCATAAGCATGAAATTTTCAGAAAGTTTAATAATCTTATTTTATACCATTTAGGATACAAAATAAGAAAATAAACTTTTACATTGTTCAACATCATGGGAAAATGGGACTTACCTTACCTATAACCGAGTGCCAATTTCCAGCACTTTTCAAAGGTGGGCGTGATGTCACCAGAAAACAACATGCCGGTGTGTCACATGAAAAGGGAGTAAAAAGTTTGCAGTACTTCAGGATTTTGGGGGGGGGGGGGGGGCAAAAACTTAGTACACACTACCAATCTTTGGAACAGTTCTGGTCTCTTCTTCACGTTCAGCATCTGGGACATAATCTTAAATCTAATTCAGAAACTGCTTTAAACGTGTTTTCTAGGCTTTTCTATTTAGTATGCTTGTACTTTTCATAGCCCAAGACAAATCAAAAGTTTATTTCAGATTTTGGGTAGAGGTTTTTACTTGTCTTTCTAAGTAAGATCTCGTACCATTTTTTCAAGAGCATCAGCTTTCCTGTTTCAGTAGTGTCAACCATTCAGCAACTTTCAAGCAAAACTCTTGGAACATTCTAAACATTACTGATAATACAGATAAAGAAGCACTGGCTACAGAGACATTATGACTTCAATTTCATAACTGAAGTACATCTTTTTAATAGAGTTCAATACGTAAGGTCATTTTTAATGCTCTGGTATTCAGCTGCATTTTGTGGAGAAAAAACCATAATAGCAGACAGTCTGACTATAACAAACCAAATTTCATTCTCCCCTAACCCACATCTCTTATAAGCTTTTCAAAGCAACACACAATATTGCTTCAAAAGCAATGTACATTTTTCTCCATTCAGAATTATACTCTCTCTCATTTCTCTGGTGATATCTGCATTTTCAAATAGAAAAATACATTCTACATAAATCTACTTTAGAGAAAGCCAAAAGGAACATTAATAGAACTGAAGTAGCTATGTTACTTTTTCCCAGTATTCACCAGTCACTTCTAAAGGACCCTCACTGGTTTTGTCCTCCTTTCCTAGATTTCTAAGGAAATGAATGTTGTCTTTTTAACACAGAGACGATACTCTGTTCAGAATGGTACTCTTGTTACTTACCAGAAATCTATTTGCTAACTTGAAAAATATACATCTATGTAAACAGGTGATACCACAGTAACACTTAGTAGCTAGATATCAAAATAAATTATATTGTAGTATTAGCTATGTATTCACTTTGTAGAGAAATCAGATTCTTACCCAGTTATCTTTTTTCAGTGGCAAAAAGTAGTAGTAATGGCAGAAATCAAGTATCAATGTATAGGAACTAAGAATCTGAGTGTAGAAACATAGCTGTAGAAACAGCCAATGATTGTCTTCACCAACACAATTATTAATCCTGCAGGGAAACAAAGTATATATAAAGACAGAAATATCAAGTCTTTTTAACATTGCAGTTAACAATAGAAAGTGACAAGTGAAGATTACTGCCACCTGTGTATAAGAGAAGCTATGATAATTGCTGCAATATGCAAGAGCTACTGACTAACCATTCTTAACAGAAGTGAGGGTCTCTCTGTTAAAGACGGCAGTTACTGTGAAGAAAGGTTTGCCCACACTGTTACTTGAAGCACAGGCTCCATTACTGAAATGACTGTTTTTTTTAAAAGAGGAGATGGTTTCCCTATGTTGATATAGCAAAGATAAATTTTATGTGATATGTTACAATTTTAAGTAATACTCAAATAAGAAGACTATAAAAAAAACTTTGAAAAATTCCACAGTAAGGTACACCATTTTATTGCCACTCAATTGCTTTTACCTACGGAGAGCTATGCACAATCCAGAAATCCAAAAAGCAAACGAACAGTTTGAAATGAATGCAATCACAGAGCACCGCAATAACAAATACGCATGACTTAAGAAGGAATGTAAGACACTGGAAGACAGAGAAGAGGCACCTCTACTAAAAAAGTTCATTTTCTTCAGACACCCACACAAAGGAGCAAAAGAATAGCAAGGATTCTGTAAATACTAACCGGGAGATTCAAAATCTTTGAAAACTAGGTCTAGACTGCTTCACAAAACTTGCATGGATAAAATCAAGTTGGTCAGGGGTGCAATTTCACGCAAGCATGATACCTCTAGTACAAGCACTGGCACAGACATTAATACCAAGCTAAGCCATAATGACAAAAGCGTTATACTGACACCGTTTTCTAAACTGGAAATTTTCTAAACTGGACAAAAAGGGTAATTTGAAAAATGGCTAAATCAATGTAGGAGGATCCGAACCTCACTTCTGTCCCCTGCAGATCATCATTGCTGCGTTGCTGGAAACGACCCCTCAGATCACTGGCAGAAATGCTCATCTTCATTTTAAACATCAATCAATCAGCTTGACTTCGTTCAATAGATTGCCTTAGCTAGAGTAGTTCGTTTTGACCCCTTCTTAGCTAGAGTAGTTAGGAAACACTCACACGACCAATTTCACTAGGAAAGTGTGAAGACAATGACAAGTGGAGTACAGTGTGAGGCAGTAACGTTTTCTACTTAGCACAGCCATTTGTGTATCTTTCAGTAAATTAAAAATCAAAACTATCCAAAAAGTAGAACTATTTTGGTTATTAGAAAAAAGACTTTCCCTGGTATGTTGAAATTCCAATCTTTTATTTCAACCCAAGAAATATAAATATATCCTATGTTTTATTTCCCACAAAGAATAACTTTTTCAGCATGAGAATTTAAACTGCATCAAAAACGTACAAATGAATTATGCTGATGTCAGCTCTAAGAATATAAGTTGCAATTATTTAATCAAAATATGTGAATGCTCCAAAACTATGAGACATCAGCTATAACAATTTGACAATAACTTAAGGAAACACAATAACACTTCTTACTGTCAACTACACTTCTTAACCTAAGAATGTCCCAGAGCTGTTCTTACCCTGCTCTAAATGCCTAAACAATTAAGCACTACTGGAAAAGAAAGGTGATAAATGAGCAATAGTCAAGATCATGAACTTCGAAATGAAAAAGAAAGACTCTGATTCACTAAAATGAGAACAGATTGTTAGAAAAAATGGCATGGTCTTACCATGGGCAGTGGTGATCCATCCTCCTGACACAATGTCCACAACGGCTACAATGGTGGGAGCGCTTTGGTCTCATCATGTTGCATTTGTTACATAATTCCCAAAATTCTCGTTCTAGGGGAAGAGGTAAAAACAGATTAGAGAGATTTAAACACAATACAGCAAGCTCATGATAAATGCACATGCTAGTGATTCCAAGAGAAAAAAAATTCTTACTGTGATCAATGCATAGGGTCACAACTAAAGAGCTTATAAGAAACTTTTTCTCCCTCACTGTCACCTTAATTAAACCAGATGATACTACTTTAGCACTTATTTTACCATTTGTGCCGATTTCCTTTACTAAAATTCTCTTTTCACATATTTCCTGAGGGTCATTGTTACAGCATAAAAGCTATCACTCAAACAAGGTATAAACAAGGAAAAGCATAATTTTTCATCCTAACTCTTCTGCGTTCTATTTCTTTGTTACATATCTATTGTGAAAAAAACATACCTGCTAGGCAGAATCATGGTACTAGTTCCCTACCATTCCAAACCCTTCTGAAGAAAAACTGCTACTCATGCTTGTCAAAACAACCTAACTAAAATAAAACATACAACGAACCCTTCTGAAGTATCTTCCCTCTCAAAGCATCTCAAGATATGCATCTCCAAACACACAGTTTTATAGATAAGGCAACCAAGGAACACATAGATACAAGTTAAGCTTGTAATTAAAATTATACACTAGTTTTGAATGCCCAGTGTGAGATTCCCTAAGCTGATCTCCAGAGATACTGCATAGGAATAGTCACAAGTACTGCAGCTGAAACTAACATGAGCTTCTACCGTTCATTTTACCCATTATTGGTCCCCCTAAATTAGAGGAAGCCTTTGAAAATGAGAAGTCTCATGACGTTCAAAAAGTACGTCATCTTTATAGAGGAAAAAAATCATAACAATATCGTAATACTTTAACTCACAAAAATATGCATCTTCTGTCTTTAAAGAAAGTAGGTGCATGCTTGAGAATATTACAATGCTTTGACTGGTTGGTTCCATCTAATCAGAGTTTCTTTTAATGCAGAGACATTTCTTAAATCCCAAGGAGAAAAGTAAAATTAAGCTTAGTTTTTCAGTAGAGCACTCTGAAATCTTGTATGGTAAAACAATTGTCACTGCGTAAAGAAAACAGAGTTAAATTTAGCATTTCTGGGCCACCTGCTGGCAGCTCTCGTACTTCTTGCAGTAAAATAACATTTTGATGCTCGAAGTAAAGCAGCCCAATATCTGAGATCATTAAACTAGTAAGAATGCCAGATGGAAACTGACTTACAATCTGTTCCCATGAATCCAATGTCACAAAGGTGTCACTCATATCATAGGGTAGCCACCAGGAGACTTCAGAAACACCCCAACCTCATTATCAAATATGATTTATACTATGAAAAAACATCTCTTGCTACCGACCTATAGAAGAGACCCTGAAGAGAACTGAAGTGCTACTTTAAAAGGGACAAAACCCCTTATACAGCACAAATCAAATCATAATATCATTATCATAATCAAGACTAAGTGTCCTGTTTTCAGAAGTATCTACAAAGATGTCATGAAACAAGTGAAGCATGAATATCAAAGTTTGGAGAGCGATTCAACAAGCAAACCTTAGGGCATGAAAATAAGTCGTTTGTACTGATCCTGGTTGCAGCAATTCTAGTTGTATTGATCCTATTTTGCAGTGAAAAGAACAAGGAATTCAGCCATGAACTTGTCTGTAATTTTATTAAGTGTCTTCATTCACTGTATTAGTTAGCAGATTCCATGTTGTTATTCCTGTAGCAGTACCTTTGAGTGAAGAACTCGAGCCCAAGCCACTTTTCCTTTTATCAGATCAAAGGCTTAGTTATCAGGAGCGGAACACTGACATGAGACTTTCTAAGGTCTTTCTTCAGATCTGAATCCCAGGGAGAAACGTCCCTTCCTGCTGTATAGTTTCTGCGTATCGTAACACCAGGGCTCAGGCCAAAGAGTTAGTGTTTCCAAACAAATCCATCCTAGACTCTCACTAAGAGAGAGCAGTGTTACTTCTGGCCTCCATCATGTTGCAGGAGGAGAGTGAAACATACACTTCTCACTACATTTGAAACATCTTCTATATTCAAAAAGCATTTTCTGTTTATGTGACAAAGCTCACGCTGTTTAATAACCCTATTACACTCTGAACTGCCACGTAAAAGCTTGATGCACTAGAAAAATACCTTAATATCATAAAACAAGTATTTCATTACAATACTGGCATTCTCCATGGAGAATCAGCAGTGTTCCAAATCGTCTATTTCAGGTGCCCTGGATACCATACAGGAATTGTGGGATAAACCAGTGCCGCATCTATTTGGTTAACAAACCATACAAAAATAATTCACTGCAATAAAATGTCCCACACATGTAGGTAAAATCCAGCATCACAGTACCTTACCCTACTGCTTTTAATATCTCATAAACGTGCTTGGGAAAAAGCTATAGAATTATAATGACTGAGTATCTCTAAAAGTTTATTTAGCAAATTAAAAGTATATGCCGTATGTCTGAAAGCCTAGAACCCAAAACAACTCTTCCTAGTGTAGTGAAAATTACCTAGCATAATATTCTGCTTAACAAAAATTCTGATGAAATATAAGAAGTTCAAAAAGAAGTTTTATTAGGTCTACAACATAAAAATACTAGCAATTTGTGGGTTAGAAACAAAGAATTAAAATGACCTTTTTCATTTTATTAATACTACATAGGCTTCAGCATAGACTGCTCATGTTTTCAACTAAATCTCCTAAGATCAGATTGAATCCCAGTTGTTCTGAGGGCATAAAAGTGATTTTTATTCTAAAATTTAAAAGAACCTAAACTCTGTTGCTATTGTTATTTACAATCTAGGAGTTAATAAAATTAAGGTAAGAAAACAAATGCAGCAGCCTATCCTAGACTATTAAAAGAAATATCTTTCACCTGTAAGTGGTATCTTTGGGTTTTCAGGTAGTTTTCCTGGATCAGCTACCGAGGCTCTTAGTAATGAAGCTATACAAAACAACGAGCAAAAGTAATAACCTGAAAAAATATATAACATTGGTTACAAGCAGGTAGAAAAAAAGCAGGAATAATAATACAGCACACCTAAATTACCTCAAGCATGTTAAAACTGCAAAGGAGAAGGTAAGTGTAAAAAAAAGAATATAAAATAACATACCAAAAATTTCATCTCATTATATAGTCAACAGAATTTTAGATTTGCTAGTAAATAAATGTACTTATTAATATAAATAATAAACTCTCTCTACAAATAAAATGTTAAGCAAAGTGTTAGAAGAATAATCATTTAAGTGTTTAATACCCAAAAAAGCTTACAAAAAAATTCCATTTCATTACCTTTGTGCGAACAGATTATGGCAGTCTTTACTTACACAAAGTGTAGATAACTACTTTTTCAAGACCCCTACCTACTTTAATAGATGTTAAAGTGATAGTCCATATAAGTGGATTCTTTAGTTTTAAAATGACTGAAAAGGAAAAAATTCCATCAAAAATGCACTGTATTGATATATTGAAATCTACATTATTCATCAATTTTTACATTCATTGGATGAACCCGCCCCAATTGGGCTTACAGAGCAACCTACAAGATCCCACAGTTTTGGAACTGCTGTAAACTTAAATTTTTAACCAGCATAACTTCACAGATCCATCAAGCTCATAAATTGGCTCTGTGCCACTCACTAGTGCTTCACAGAGCGTATGGAACGTGTTCTTCCAGACACACTTGGCCAGCTGGTTTCATAAACATAAGAATAGCGACACTGGACTTGTATCTTCAGCGACACTGAACATGTATCTCCCTTTAATCTATTACTTGATCTCTCAGTGGCTAGTCACAGATACTCAGCAGAATAAACTGAAAAGCTGGCAAGCGTAAAAGTGTTCATTTACCTTGCTTTCCAGCTATTAGCAACAGGCGTATTTCCCTAACTTCCTTCATTAACCCCAAAAGATTTGTCATTATTAGCTAATTTTGGGCCTATCCTCTAATTCATCCTCCATGAATGCTGGATGTGTAGAAGCAGGAAGACGTGGGATCCAAAGTTCTATTTCAACCACTGATGTGAGAAGCACGTACAAGTCTGCAAGCTTCTGCCTATTTATCACAAAAATTTGCTATAATAGTAAAGATAGCTCAGCCTCATCCTAGCAAAGATTCAAAGTCATACTGAATCGTCCATATCCTGATTACTAATTTTTGATTTCAGGAATCTCTTAGTAACATACTAAAAAAACCAAACAACTGTAGCATGCAGGAATGCTAGCCTCCATATTAGAAAAACAACAGTTACATCAAATTTTAGGATAAGTAGTTCAAAATAACCACAAGCTTTCTCATAGCTTGCCAACCCATCAATGTAATGTTCTTCATCTTGCTTTCACATGAACAGTGCAAAAACATCAAGGTGTTTCAGAAGAAAAATTAAAATTCTGAGTTGGATACAGCACATTTTCATGCTTTATTTAACATAGCCTTTTTTTCCCTGACCCAAAATAAAACATCCCCACCTATGAAACATCATGAACAAAGCAATTACATAATTAGTTACACAGTTGTTATGACATTTATCCTGACAGAACTGGTTATACCAAAAAAAAGAAAAAAAAAACCCACCTAAACAGATCTAAATGCTGCTCAAACCACAGCACGTTAATTTTCAGGAAGCTATATATTAATGATACTGTAGAAAAAAATCCATGTTTGGAACCTGCCAAATATAAGTAATGTTTTCTCTGTTTTGGTCTCCACTAGAAAAGAATTTTATTTTCAGAGGTGTCCAGATTATCTACTTTCCACTGAATCAAAAAAGCAGGTGTTCCAGCATTGAGCTGGAAATTACTCAGCCTTCTCATTCAATTCCAGATACATTTTTGATTCCAAATCATTCTATACCTCAAAGCCTTTTATTGAAAGGGCAATCACAAGGGTCTACCTTCACAGTAAGTTGGCTCCAAATATAATTCAAGCATTTTCCCCAGTATAACTCATAACAGCTGACCCATGAAGGGATATATGATGAAACTAACATCAATCATCAGTATTACCACCTTCAGTTTCTGACAAGCACTAAGGATTGAGGGCCTGAAATTCTGTCAACTTTTCCTAACTGTACTAGTTAATCTAGCATATGAGTTCTAGTTAAAGGT